CGGCCCGGCTGGCCGGCGGTCCCCCTGCGGGCCGGGGCGCGGCTTCTGCCTGCCACGCCGGCTGAGTGCACGTCACGCGGACTGCCCGGTCTGACCGTCTCCAGCGCACAGTGCAGGGCGTGCAGCGCCTTCACGTCGTTTGCCGCGTCCCCAGTGTCCGCAACGTCTCGTCTTCCCACAGTCAGGCTGCTCGCCCGCCGGACGCCGATCCCGGCCCCGGCCCGGCCCGCGGCCCCTCTGCCCGAGAACCCGGCTCCTCCAGGGCTCGAGCGCTGGACTCCGGCGGCGGCTGCGCTTCCATGGGCGGCCCGTGTCACCTCCTCGTGAGGATGAGTGACGTCCCGTAGTGCGGGTGGACCAGCTGCCTGTCCGCCCCGTGGCGCTCGTGTGCTTCCCCCCGGCTGTTGTGCGTGGTGCTGCCGTGAGCACCGGGGCTTGGGGGTCCCTCGGAGACTCTGCTTCCGGTCCCTTGGGGTGTTGTGCAAGGAGACCACTCGCTTTCGCTCTGACAGATGATCTCCATACGTGTGTGTCTGGGGGCCCCACACCATGCACTTCTGCGCCTCCCGCCGGGGGTCCCCCAGTTCAACTCCATCCTGACACCGTCTGCCTGGAGGCGACGTCACACCCCCCCAGGTACAGGGCGCAGTCCCACAAGACCACCCCACTTCAGACGCCAATCACAAGTCCAGGTGTCCCCTGTGCTTCTGACCGACCGGCTCTAGATCAGGAGGTTCCCAGGGCCCCTCCTCAGGTGGATTAATTCGCTGGAGCGGCTCACAGAACTCAGGAAACATTTCACTTACTGGATCCCTGGTTTACCAGGAAAGGATATAACTCAGGAACAGCCAGATGAAGAGACGCAGAGGGCAGGTCTGGGGAAAGGGCAGGAGCTTCCACGCCCTCTCCAGGGCAGCCACTCCTCCCAGCACCTCCACGCGTCCACCAGCCCAGAAGCTCTCGGAACCGCGTCCTGTTGGGTTTTCTGGAGGCCTCATTACACAGGTGTGACTGATGAAATCACTGGCCACTGGTGATTGATTGACCCTCCAGCCCTCTCCCCTCCCTGGAGGTCAGGGGTGGGACTGGATGTTCCAGCCCTCTGAACACAGGCTTGGTTCCCCTGGTGACCAGCCCCATCCTTAGGGGCTTTCCAGAGTCACCTCATTAACATAAATTGGGTGTGGTTGACAGTGGCTTATTGTGAACATCAAGACACCTTTATGGCTCTCATCACAGGAAATTCCAAGGGCTTTGGGAACTCTGTGCCAGGAACGGGACAAGCCCAAATATATATTTATTATAAATCACAGTATCACAGGTATATACCCAAAGTGGAATTGCTGGGTCATATGGTAATTCTATGTTTAATTTTTGGAGGAACCTCCATGCTGTTTTCCTAAGTGTATCAGTCGGCTCAGGCTGCATAACAAGTACTACAGACCAGGTAGCTTAAATAGCAGATGTGTTTCTTCAAATTCTGGAGGCTGGAAGTCCAAGATCAGTGTCAGTTTCTGGTGAGGTCTCTCCTTGGCGAGAGGACGACGCCTTCTCAGTTTTGGTGTCTCTTTCTCTTCTTATAGGGACATCGGTCCTATGGGATCAGGGACGCACCCTTATGACCTCATTTAACCTTAATCACCTCCTAAAGGCCCATCTCCAGATACAGTCAGCTGGGGCTGAGGGCTTCCCCATATGGATGTTGGGGACACAGCCCATGATGCCAGGCATAGCTCTAGAGTCCTGCTCCCCCATCAGCTACTGTCCCCAATTTTTCCTCCGTCAGAAGAACCCTGAGAACCTGTGTGCTGTCTCTTAAACCCACACCCACTCACCCCAGCGGTGGCTGAGGCGGCAGATTAAAGCTGGCCCCAGCCTCCTACAGCCCCTCCTGCATCTGTATCGAGGCCTGTTTCCTGCCTGCCTGGTCTCTCTGGCCTGGGCTCCGAGTCGCCCGCTGTCACACCTGCCCAGTCTACCCGTCGGAGCCCTTCGTAGCAGTGCTGCATGGAACCAGGTGAGGGGCGAGGCTCCATGGGTCCCTGCTCCACCGCTCACTCCCGCACCAGCCTCCCCCACCTGCACGACTTTCTGGACTGTTCACAAGCCAACGCTGCAAATTGATGTCTCCAACCCAGGCATTTCCTCCGATCTCAGACCCCCAAGTCCTGTCAGGCACTCCCCTCGCGTGTCCGATACCTCACACTTCGTGTACAAGCGTGACCTCCAGTCTCCCCAGAGCCCCTCGGGTCCCGGTGCTCACCTGTCCTTTGCTCAGCACACAGCCCGGCAGGCGCAGGCCAGGCCTCGTTGTCCCTGTGTCACCTGGACTGCCCCCTCCCATCCCACCAGTCAGTTCTGCCCCTCTCCTGGCCTCTACCCAGCAGACCCCCAGCAGCCACGTGACTGGCCCCTCCTCCTCAAGATGGGCCCAGATGCTGCCTCCCGGCAAAGCGGCTCTGAGCACCGTGTAAGCGTCCCTCAACCTTGTATTTGGAGGTTTCAACCTACAGAAAGTGTAAGAGAATAAACCACGGGTCACCTTCCCCTGGGTTCACCAATTGTCCACATTCTGCCGTCTGTCTGTCTACCTGCCTACCTGTTGATGTGTCTAGTATCTACTGATCTATGGATCCTTCCATCTGTGGAACTGTTTATTGATCTGTCTACTTACTACCTACCTGCTTGTCGCCTATCATCCATCTGTCTCACTCACTATTGATCTATCTATCTAATCTGTCCATCCATCCATCTGTTGATTGACCTAATCTGTCTGTCCGTCTGTCTGTGTCTTTCTTGCTGCACCATGGGAACTCTGTTGCAGACGGCGGGGCCCTCGGTCCCCGAGCTCCTCCCCTCCCACGGCGCTCCGCCTCCCGCATCAGTTCACGCACCGCACCGGGTGCGTCACCTCTGAGGTTCCCAGCCGCATCCTTGGTAACTGCCCCTTGGTCAGGCCCGGTCTGCGCCAGCGTCCTGCGACGCGCAGGGTGGTCAGTTTCTTCGGGTGTAGGAGGGTGCCCCCCGCCGTGGCGCTGACAATGCCAGAGCGCAGGCCGGCCCCCTGATGAGTGGCTCTGCCCAGACTGAGTTCAGTGACCACACCGGAGGATGCAGGCTGGGAGCACCGCCCACCCCGCCCTGCTCAGCCCTCGCCTCCTTCTGAGCCCTCAACACTCGCTATTTGTTGGTCCCTGCTCTGTGATCCGGGCCCCGTGCAGCTCCCTGCGGCACCGCCAGGGCCCAGCACACAACGCGATGCAGATCACGGTGGTCAAACACACGCATCACCGTCCAGGCTGATCTCGACTACGCGCATGTCTGAACTCGGCCCAGCCTCACCCAACCCTCCCCCCACCCCTCCACTTCTATTTCCTGTGACAACCTGCAAACTGAAGACCAACTTGCCTCCCCCCAGCGCCCAGGCTGGCTCCTGCCCCACCCCCGCCCCGCCCCGCCCTCCTCTGCCCAACCCTCCTCACGCCTCCGGCTTCTGCCCAAACCCTGCGAGGTCCCGGCTTTCCCAACCAGGCCAACCACCCGGAGGCCCCTAGGGTCCCCAGGCCCCCAGTCCCCCTCCTGGCCCGTTTCCTGGTTGTGACCAGCCAGGCCTGGAATGCGGCTCCTTTGGCCACTGGCCACTTGCCCTCCGCGGATGAAGGTCTTCCTCTGCCCAGGCTGGCGTTCTGCGGGTGACCGGCACCTCCCTGCCAGCCCTGTGAGGACACCGTGGGGTGGGCCTCGCGTTCCTGCAGCCTCACGTCAGCCTGTCCCTCGGCCAGCAGAGGAACCTGCTTCCCCTCAGCACGGCCGCAGGAAGGGCCAGCAGGCCGACCCGGGCCACCGGGAACCTTCCCCACCCCGGCCTTACCAATCTTGTGCCAAGCCCAGCCTGCTGGGCGCTGTCCAGCACAGCAGCCGCCGCCACCTGGGGCTGTTTACATGCACATTAGCTCAGATGAAGTCAAATGAAACTTCATCTTGCAATGAAGTGCCCAGAGCCACATGGCCATTGGCTGCCTCCGCCGCCTGTACTGCTCCAGGCACCTCCTCCTGGGTCTCTGTGCTAGCCTGGACATGGGGAACCGCTGCACGTGGGCGCGGCCCGGCTGCTACCCGTTCTCAGGTCCCGCCACTGCTGCTCTCATGCCCACAACTAGGGGGTCTGTGGCCTGGCCTCAGGAGGCTCCCAGGAACCCTACTCAGTGACCTGGGGCGGGTGGAGGCCACGGCTGCAGCTGGACCCAGTGTGAGGTCTCCTCCCTCTGAGGCCACAGCCCTGGAGCTGTTGGGAGGGGTGGGGAGCTGAGAGCTGGAAAAGCGGTGGGCGTGGGGGTCCCGGACCCTGCTTCCCAGCCGCTGGGGGCCAGGAGTGCCTTCCTGTTATTCTCTCCCCGAGGCCTCCTCCCTTCACAGAGGCAGGAGAGGAAGCTGCCCCCATTCTGGGGGTATCAGAGCACCCCCACACACAGCCCTCAGCCATCTCCCTGAGCAGCCAGACGGTTGGCTCCAGCTGTGGAAACGGATGAGAAGGAGACGAGAAGCCCATTCCGTCTGATGCTGCACCAGCCGCTCCCCGGCCTGGCCCTGCCCAGTGCAGACCTGGGTGGGCCCCACACAGCCTGGGGACCCACCAGGCACAGGGGCAGGGGCAGGGAGCCTGGGCTCCGGCCGCTGGCCTGCTCCCAAGCCCAGAAGACAGTGGACGGGTGGGGGATGGTTCTGTGCCCCAGGTTCAGCCCTCCACCATCACGGCCATCCCAGGTGGATGGGGAAACCGAGGCACCGAGAGGTCGTTGTTTCTTAAGTAGCTAAGCGAGCATTGATGAAGGTTTAGTGACTGGGTGGGTTCCATCTCTGGGAGTTAACTGCCGTGTCCCACGTGGGAGATGGCCGCCCTGTCAGGGTGTCGGGGCTCAGGCACGAGATGGTGGTCATGTCCAAAACATCAAGGAGTTGGTCTCAGAGGTAGGACCATGGATGACACAGAGGTTAGTTCCCCAGGTCTGGGATGGCCAGTGACATTGGTTGGGAGGATGTGACATCAGAACCTCAGTCCCCACCATCGAAAGCTTGCAAAGCTGATAGGATCTTGGGAACGCATCCAGGCCCTCAGTCCTTAGGTTCCCTTCTCCCATGGTGACCCAGCTTTTCATGGGGCCTCTGCCTTCTAGGAGGGGCCATGTCCTCCAAACTCATGTGCTGGAGCCACAACCCCCAGGGCCTCAGAATGTGACTGTATGTGGAGACGGGGCCTTTAGGAGGTGATGAAGGTGAAATGAGTCACTGGGGTGGGCCCTGATCCCACATGACTGTGTCCGTATGAGAAGAGGAGATGAGGACACAGACACTCAGAGGGATGACCACGTGAGGACACAGGGAGAAGACGGCCATCTACACACCAAGGAGAGAGGCCTCAGGAGGAACCAGCCCTGCCCACACCTGGATCTCTGACTTCCAGCCTCCAGACTGGGAGAGAATGATTGTCTGTGGTTTGAGCCCCCAGGCTGTGGTCTTTGTTAGGCAGCCCGAGCTGACTGAGACACCGTCCAGAAAGGAGCCTCGTTTGTAGCTTCCCTCACAGCTGGATCCCTTTTAACAAGCCCTGGCTGAGGGGATGTGTGTTAGATGGGGTTCTACAGAGAAACAGGCCCAATAGGATGTTTATAGAGAGAAAGAGATTTATGTTAAGGAATTGGCTCATGTGATCATGGGGCCAGCAAGTCTGAGAGATGGAGAGCGACACAGACAGAGAGATTTAGTATAAGGAATTGGCTCCCACTGTTTGGAGGCTGAGAAGCCCCAAGATTTGCGGTCTGTAAGCCCAAGCCCTGGGAGAGCCAATGTCGTTAGAGCCCGTGTCTGAGAACAGGAGACTGATGTCCCAGCTCAAACAGTCAGGCAGGAGCAGTTCCCTCTTCATCTGCCTTTTTGGTCTATTCAAGCCTTCAGCTGATTGGACGAGGCCCACCCACACTGGGGAGAGCAATCTACTTTACTCAGTCTGCGGATTCACTGTGAATCTCATCCAGAAGCACCCTCACAGACATACCCAGGATCTTATTGAATCTGGGTGCCCCAGGGCCCAGTCAGGTTGACACATACGATTAACCATCACCAGCAGTCTGGAGGCAGAACTGCTGCTTTGGGAACCTCAGTCTTTGCTCTTGAGGCTGTCACCTGATTGGATGAGGCCCACCCACACTGGGGAGGGCAATCTCTTTCAAATCTGCAGATTATCAGTGTTAATCTCATGTAAAAACACACCTTCATTGTGACATCTAGACTGATGTCAGACCAAACCACTGAGCACAGACACTCACAACCTGGCCCACATCTGACTTCGTGTTCAGGGACGGGCAGCAAACCAGCTTTCCTAGCTGTCGCCAGGCAGAATACTCCTCTCTCTGACCCAAACTGCCCCCGATTGTATCTAACCCAGTTAGGAGTGGGAGACTGAGAGGATAGACACTCGGCAGGCTGCACGCTGGATGGAATTACAGGTTGACATCAGACTGTGGTGAAAGAAGGCGGCAGTGAGCCAGCCCTGATGGCCCGGTGGTTAAAGTTCGGCGCACTCCACCTTGGTGGCCTGGGTTAGGTCCCCAGGCACAGAACCACACCACCCGTCTGTTAGTAGCCATGTTGTGGCGGCAGCTCACAAAGAAGAACTAGAAGAATTTACAACTATGTACTGGGGCTTCGAGGGGGGAAAGAAAACAAAGGAGGAAGATTGGCAACAGATGTTAGCTTAGGGCGAATCTTCCCCTAAAAAATTAAAAAAAAAAAAAAAGAGAGAGAGCAGTGGCTGCAGAGGCCCCAGGGCAAGGGGGCTGGGAGGCTTCATGTGAGGCCACGGGGTCTACCTGACCAAGGCTCACAGGGTCCACATGGCTGGGGTGTCTCCAAGAGGCCACAATAAGACTCCATGTCCCACATGCTCTTCTTAGAGTGGCACTGGCCCGTGGGGAGGGACCCTGCTGGCCTGTGCCTGCTGTGGAGCAGTGCAACTCCAGGGCTGCAGATGAGGTTCAGTTGGCCTTTGCCGGATCCTCTTGGGCCACCGCACGACCCCCAGCTCAGTGAGTGAGGAAGTCTCTGAGCTGCCCCAGCCCCAGACACCCCAGGCTATGACTGCACGGGAGGCTCAGCCAGAGAAGGTGTGATCCTAATGTTGCTTTGTTCGCAAAGGGCCAAGGGAACAAGGTTCTGACCCCTTGAGCTTGACCTAAAGTTCCCTCTCCATGGCTGGGGTGAGCCTGCCCTGGACACTGTCTGAGTGGACAGTGTCCGAGAATCCAGAACATTCTTCCCCAAACACAAACCTGCCCAGCACCTCCCCGTCAGCTGGCTTCCTGGCTTATTTTCAGGCAGATGCTGGGGAGGCCGCACCCCATGTCCCCCTCCTCATGGACCCTGTCACCATCAGGGCTGTGTCATGGCCCTAAATGTGGGAAGCTGACCTTCAGATGGAGGCCAGCCTCCAGGCCTCCTGGGAGTGGGCACCTGCCATCCTCGTCAGCGCCTCTCCAACCACTAGGGTGATTCTGAATCCTGCAGTCTCCCGCCATTCCCCACCCGGGTTGCCCCCCTGTCTGGACCTCCCTGAGGTCCTGATGTCCTCCAGGGCCTCCACCAAGAAAAGCCTCGGCTGCAGGAGGCCGACCTGGAGAAGTGAGGGGCAGGGAGGCTGTGGAGGGTGTGGTGACTTGCAGTTGTCCATCACCAGCTCCGCCACGCACGGCCCAGTGGCATCGATGGGGGCCAGGCATGCCTGGACAGCATGGTCCCCACTGCAGGGACCCAGCCTCACCCATGATGATACCACCAGCAGCACAGTCCCAAATCTGGGGCTGGCAGATTCATGGACTTTCGTCTCCTGGAGAGGTGAGCAATGAGTCCCTGCTCTAGTTCCGGATTGACTTTCCCTTTGAAGCTCTGCTCCAGCATCGCTGTCCAGGACTTCATGGGGGCAGGGCTCACGTGGGAGTGGGGCTCACCTGGGGTCAGTGTTCTCCTGGGTCAAGGCTCACCTGGGGTCAGGGCTCACCTGGGTCAGGGCTCACCTGGGGTCAGGGCTCACCTGGGTTCAGCGCTCACCTGGGGTCAGGGCTCACCTGTGTCAGGGCTCACCTGGAATCAGTGCTCACCTGGGTCAGGGCTCACCTGGGATCAGAGTTCACCTGGGGGCAGGGCTCACCTGGATCAGCACTCACCTGGGTTAGGGCACTCCTGGGTCAGGGCTCACCTGGGATCAAGGTTCACCTGGGGTCAGGGCTCACCTGGGACAGGGTTCACCTGGGATCAGGGTTCACCTGG